CAGGGAGTCTTGTTTGATCAAACCATATTAACCTGGAAGCAATCCACAGGTTCTCATCTTTTGTGGAAACAAAAGCAGAACCTCTTTTCAAAAGCAAACATATACTTAGACCCAAATTTTGAAGTCAAGATGCCTTTAATATATATATATATATATATATATATATATATATATATATGTGTGTGTGTGTGTGTGTGTGTGTGTGTGTGTGTGTGTGTGTGTGTGTGTGTTGGTTTAAATTAGCAGTCTTTACAATCAAGTGTTTTTCTGCAGTTAGCTCATTAACACTCAAAAAATTCAAAGAAAACACAATAATATATGTACTCCAGACTTTATATTTTCCATCATTACATGGCCTATTTCTTTTATATTACTTTTACTGTCTCTTTAAAGACTAATTTTTTTTAAAACTATTTCTCTATATGACTGTCTTTACTCCTTTTCCTCTCTCTTCGAAGCCTTAGTACATTTTTACATATACTGTAAACCATTTAGAGGTTTCTTTTCTCAGTCTGAACCTGACCTATTTTGAATCTGTAATCATATTCTGAGAAGTAGAGTTTTCAAACTGTTAAGCTGTGTGGCTTTGGCTGCTGATTCTGCCCCATCAGGCTTTTCAACATGATGGAGGTACATGCATCGCCAACTCCAGGAGCCTTGCTCACCATCCTAACTCTGGGAAGCAGCAAGTTGGGTTCATGCCACCACCAAGCAGCTTCAGCACATTGTCCACAACATATTTAATTGCTCCATAGCAGGACCTCTCAAAAGAGTCCTCCATGCAGCCAGCATGAACCAGGAAGCTGTCTAAAGGAACTATATATTTGTTCGCCACCAGCAAACAGAGCCTATCTGAAAAAAAAAAAAAAATGCAGCTACCAAGAAGCTGCACTTGACTCCTGTTCTTTTGTGGATCTAGAAGCCCTCTTTTTTATTAAGCTTTTTTTAGGTTTTATGTGGGTATACATGCACCATGTGGGCACCAAGTGTAGCTATAAGTTTCTCTCCTACGAGTCTCGTAGCCATTCAGTTCCAAATAAATACACAGAGGCTTATATTAGTTGTAAACTGTTTGGTCTATGTCTCAGGCTTCGTGCTATCCAGCTATTACAACTTAACTCAGTCAGTAGTACAAGAAACTCTTAATCTCATGGTCGGTTGTGGGTTTGACCCCCACGTTGGGCACCAAACATAGGGGCAAGTTTCTCGGTCCCACCCAGGCACACTGTCTGGACACCAGCAGTCCCAAGGCTGCTTATAAAATAATTACTCAGAAGCTTATATTAATTACAAACTTCATGGCATACGGCTCAGGCTTCTTGCTAGCTTACATTACAAATTTTTTTTTTTTTTTGGTTTTTTTTTGAGACAGGGTTTCTCTATGTAGCTCAGGTTTCTTGCTAGCTTACATTACAACTTTTTTTTTTTTTTTGGTTTTTTTTTTTGAGACAGGGTTTCTCTGTAGCTAGAGTTTTCCTGCCTGGCCCACAGTCAGGACAAATCTCTGACACCCGCCAGTCCCACAGCCATTCAGACCCAACCAAGTAAACACAGACACTTATATTGGTTACAAACTGTATGGCCGTGGCAGGCTTCTTGCTAACTGTTCTTACAGGTTAAATTAATCCATTTCTATTAATCTGTACCTTGCCACGTGGCTTGTGGCTTACCGGTACTTTACATCTTCCTTGTCCTGATCGCGGCTGGCAGTGTCTCCCTCACCCAGCTTCCTGTTCTCTCAATTCTCCTCTCTGTTAGTCCCGCCTATACTTCCTGCCTGGCCACTGACCAATCAGTGATTTATTCATTGACCAATCAGCAACACATTTGACATACAGACCATTCTATAGCATTTCTCTATGTAGCTTTGCGCCTTTCCTGGAACTTGCTTTGGAGACTAGGCTGGCCTCGAACTCACAGAGATCCGCCTGCCTCTGCCTCCCGAGTACTGGGATTAAAGGCGTGCGCCACCACCGCCCGGCCTAACTCTTACAACTTAACCCATTGCTATTAATCTGTTTTGCCATGTGGCTTTGTGGCTTTATCTGTTTGCTTATATCTTGCTTCTCCTGGTGGGAACTTGGAGCATCTCCTCTAACCCCACCTTTCTTCTCTCTCTCTCTCTCTTTCTCTCTCGGACTTCCTACCTGGATCCATCCCACCCTGCCAATGCAGCTTTATTTATTAACCAATGGAGCAACATATTCACAGCATACAGAAAGACATCCTATAGCAGCACCGTATGTACTCCTGGTGCCTATAGAGATCAGAAGAGGACAATAAATTCCCTGGACCTGGAGTTATGAGTGTTTGTGAGCCACCATGCTGAAGCTAAGAACCAAACCTGGGTCTTCTGCAAAAGCAACAAGCCCTGAAAAAGATATATTATTAACATTCTACATAACTACAGGTTATATTTAAGATTATATTTATACATACAAATATGCATATGCATGTGAAAATAATTAATATAGAAAGAAACCATGAATTTAGAGGTCAGAAAGGAAGAGTATATGGGAGAGATTGGATGAAAGATGGGGAGAAGTGGTGTAATTACATTATAACCTCAAAAATAAAAAAAAAAATGAGAAAAGGAAGACTACTGTGCTGCATAACTAAAATTCTATCTTTTCTTTGTACTTCTTACCCCTTTAAATAATTCTATAAGTAATGAATATTATTTTTTGACAAAATATTTCTCTTATATTAAATAAACTTAATCTTGTTGTTTGCCTGTTGTTTGCTCTGAACCTTTAAACTAATAATGATTATTCAAATGCCATTTATTGAAGGACAAAATATTTTCTGAGTAGATTCCACGTACTTGAAATAGTGCCATGATTAAATGAATGAGATGTAACAATTAACAGATTAGTAAGCAGGGTATGTATCTACTCACAAACTAGTGGAGGTTTTGTTTGGTGTTGACCAGTTTTTCTTCTTTTCATTTTGTTTATTCAGAGAAGGTCTCATTCTGTAGTGCATGCTGACCTTGAACCCTCCACATAGCCCAAGCTGGCCTCAAAATCAGACAATCCTCCTGCTTCAGTCTTCCCAGTGCCCCAATTTATAGACCTTAAATAAGCAAATTGTAAAACTCAGTGTGTTCCTATGATTATCAATAATCATTTTCTTCAGTTGGTAAATATTAAATTAATTAAAACTTACAAAGAGCCCTAGCCTTAGTTACATAATAATAATGAAGGTCATTATTGTGAAACCATGGGTTAAAATCTTACACTGAAAACAAAGTCAAACAAAATAACATAGAGTCTAGAACTTTGCATTCTGTGTTTAAGGACACATTCTGACACTTTTCTGTCTCTGAGAATTTAGAAATTAATTAAACTTTAACTTATAAATCTCTGTGTCTACCTCATTGGTAGGATGAATGAGTACCTGTAAATAAGAGAAACTTATGATATTGGGATTCAAAAACATTAATTGCTCATTATCAACAGATAACAGTAAATTTCAAATGCCTCTTATACTGTGCAGATTATGGGTAAGAGTCGTTTTTTTCTTTTTTTGGTTTTTCGAGACAGGGTTTCTCTGTGTAGCTTTGTGCCTTTCCTGGATCTCACTCTGTAGCCCAGGCTGGCTTTGAACTCACAGAGATCCACCTGCCTCTGCCTCCCGAGTTCTGGGATTAAAGGAGTGCGCCGCCGCCTCCGCGGCGCCGCCGCTGCCGCTGCCACCACCACCAGGCGAATCCAAGAATTTTTAATAGTTGTTTTGTTTTGTTTTAAAGAGAAAGTAAGAGAAAAAACATAGATACATATTGGAATGTATATAGGGAACTAAGACACTTACTACAAAGTAGAGACCATATAAATTGCTCCTAACCTAGAATTCCTTCATAGGAGGGATTATTATCACAAACCAAAAAAAAAAAAAAAAAACTTCCTTAAAAAAAAAATGAACTTTTAGTATAATCCTGGGACTGAATCATCCTTTAAAACACAAATTATAGAGCAATCATGAACCTATTACTGACTGAGATGTGCTTTTGAATTAGAAGTTTCATTTCTCAGGTTTCCTCACCAAAAACAAAACAAATCAAAATAAACAAACAAAAAACAAAAACAGCAAGAAGAATAATAATTAACTATGAATAAGAAAGACTTCTGAGAAAAGTCACATTTCAGCCTCACAATACTTGATTCAGCCACTGACAGGAAGTCTTTGAATCTGAATAGAACCAGACAATAGTGGAGGTCATAACTCCCTCAAATGATTAAACCTCACTGCCAAGTTGAAGGATTGCAAATCTCCCAGAGGCAGGCCTTCTTAAAATTACTTTCTAATTTTGGACTCTTTTTTCCCTAAACAGTTTTAAGTGATCCAAGGTAAATAAAATAAGCATAAATACAAAACACCTACTTTTGAAACAAAAAGTTATTTTTAAATATTTCTGTCAGATATGTAATTCTATATCAATTACACATTAACATAATTTTCTGTACTTAGATGTGTTTGTTCATTTTTACATACAAATTAAAACTGGCTGAATATTTGAAATGGGATGATGTGGACCATCTGCAATGTTTTTCACAGCTCATGACATTTACTCTATAATTGTCAATGCTAAGATTACTATTTTGCATAAATATATAGTATATAATAGCAGATATACATTTGGTCATTTTCAGAAATTATTTGAAATCATGGCCTAGCACCCAGCCAAATTAATTTAATGATTTTATTTATAAAACTGTAGTAAGGCACTCAAAAAAAAATCTTTAAAATCAAGATTGTTTTAAAATATGTTAATTTAATACTACTAAGGAATGAATGTAAGGCAATATAAAGAGAATTTTCGTTGTGTGCTAAAGAGACAACCAGTTTACATCTAATGCAATATCACTACAATTAATAACAAACAATAGTCTTAAATATGGGCTAGGTGTCTCAGGAAGCAAGTAGTGGCATGGCAAGTTGCAGACTGTGAAATGCACGCATTGTATGTTCAGAAGCAAGATTGCAGCGCACTGATTTCTCCTCAGCCACGCCGAGGCTTTGTGTGGAGTCTGTTTCGACGCCAGGACCCACGAAGACACGATGATGCTGGGCGCGGAAGGCGGAGAGGGCTTCGTGGTGAAGGTCCGGGGCTTGCCCTGGTCCTGCTCCGCGGACGAAGTGCAGTGCTTTTTTTCTGACTGCAAAATTCAAAATGGGGCCCAAGGTATTCGTTTCATCTACACCAGAGAAGGCAGACCAAGTGGAGAGGCTTTTGTTGAACTTGAATCAGAAGATGAAGTCAAATTGGCCTTGAAAAAAGACAGAGAAACTATGGGACACAGATATGTTGAAGTATTCAAGTCAAACAACGTTGAAATGGATTGGGTGTTGAAGCATACTGGTCCAAATAGTCCTGACACAGCCAATGATGGCTTTGTACGGCTTAGAGGACTCCCTTTTGGATGTAGCAAGGAAGAAATTGTTCAGTTTTTCTCAGGGTTGGAAATCGTGCCAAATGGGATAACATTGCCGGTGGACTTCCAGGGGAGGAGTACGGGGGAGGCCTTCGTGCAGTTTGCTTCACAGGAAATAGCTGAAAAGGCTCTAAAGAAACACAAGGAAAGAATAGGGCACAGGTATATTGAAATATTTAAGAGCAGTCGAGCTGAAGTTAGAACTCATTATGATCCACCACGAAAACTTAGGGCCATGCAGCGGCCAGGTCCCTATGACAGACCTGGGGCTGGCAGAGGGTATAACAGCATTGGCAGAGGAGCTGGTTTTGAGAGGATGAGGCGTGGTGCTTATGGTGGAGGCTATGGAGGCTATGATGATTACAATGGCTATAATGATGGCTATGGATTTGGTTCGGATAGATTTGGAAGAGACCTCAATTATTGTTTTTCAGGAATGTCTGACCACAGATATGGGGATGGTGGCTCTACTTTCCAGAGTACAACAGGACACTGTGTACGCATGCGGGGATTACCATACAGAGCTACTGAGAATGACATTTATAATTTTTTTTCACCACTCAATCCTGTGAGAGTACATATTGAGATTGGACCTGATGGCAGAGTAACTGGTGAAGCAGATGTCGAGTTTGCGACCCATGAAGATGCTGTTGCAGCTGTGTCAAAAGATAAAGCAAATATGCAACACAGATATGTAGAACTCTTCTTGAATTCTACAGCAGGAGCAAGCGGTGGTGCTTACGGTAGCCAAATGCTAGGAGGCATGGGTTTGTCAAACCAGTCCAGTTACGGTGGCCCAGCCAGCCAGCAGCTGAGTGGTGGTTATGGAGGTGGCTACGGCAGCCAGAGCAGCATGAGTGGATATGACCAAGTTTTACAGGAAAACTCCAGTGATTTTCAATCAAACATTGCATAGGTAGCCAAGGAGCAGTGAACAGCAGCTACTACAGTAGCGGAAGCCGTGCATCTATGGGCGTGAATGGAATGGGAGGGATGTCTAGCATGTCCAGTATGAGTGGTGGATGGGGAATGTAATTGATTTTGATCACTGACTCTTGGTCATTTTTTTTTTTTAAACTTCAGTTTAACAGTTTTGCAATCTAGCCTTGTGATTGATGCCTCCTCTTAAGTGAACATTGGCATTACTCAAAGGACTACAGTTCAATGTTGAACATAGTCACCTAGGATGATACAGTGAAGTTGAGTGAACTGTAACTGTTAAACAATTCCCAGCTTTTCTCTAGTTACTGTAGGATGTACGTAAGCAGTAAGCGTATTTAGGTTAAAGCAGTTGAATTATGTTAAATGTTGCTCTTATACATACATTACATTGAACACTGTTGGTGCATGTTGAAAAGACATGCTTTTTTGTAAAACTCAATATAGGAGCTGCGTCTACAATTAAAGTGAAACATTTGGCATGTTTGTTCTAATTTCATTTGATAAACCTGTAAGGCACGTGAGTTTAAAGCTTTTTCCCCCCCCCTTTTTTTTTTAAGTTAATGGAGTAATTTTGAGACGCAATATCATTTACTTTAGGATTTTTGGTCTTGGTGTTTGTATGAAATTCTGAGGCCTTGATTTAAGTCTTTCATTGTATTGTGATTTCCTTTTAGGTGTATTGCGCTAAGTGAACCTTGTCAAATAAATCTTCCTTTTAAAAGCTAAAAAAAAAAAAAAAAAAAAAAGATTGCAGCACACTGACATAATCCAACATGGGTGCATACTCCCAGAAGTACCTTAGTTCATTACACACTCAATTTGGAATTAAGTTTTGGTCCTTGTTTATTCAGTAACATTTTACTGTTGTCAAAATTTGAACAGTCCCTACTATTCAGTAATGTGGAATTGCAGCCTAGAGTTTAGGAAGCTGGGACCTAAGAGACACTTCTGAATGTCTGTGTGAAGGTGTTTCCAGAGAGCTTTCATTGAGGAGTAAAGACACACCCTAAACCTGGGTAGCATCCTCTCATGGACTGAGAATAAACAAGAAAGGGATTTGGAGAGAGCTTGGAAATCATCAGTAATCATGTTTATATTCTGAAGCAGAGAACATGTGCCCAGTTTCAAGCACCAGGTTCTATGATTTCACTGCCTCTGACTCCCCAGAGCTGGGATTAAAGGCATGCACCACCACTGCCCAGCTAAATTTTAGACTCTTGTAAATACAATATATTAAAAGTCTTAATATTATTTCCCTGACTACCTTGAAGGCAAGAAAGTATAAAAAAAATTCTAGGGAAATTCTAACTAAAATAGAATGAAAATCATTATTAGAAAACAATTTAATGATTTTATTTATAAAATTGTAGTAAGGTACTCAAAAAACAATTTTTAAAATCAAGATTGTTTTAAAATACATTAATTTATTACTACAGGGGCTGGAGAGATGGCTCAGCGGTTAAGAGCACTGGCTGTTCTTTCAGAGGTCCTGAGTTCAACTCCCAGCAACTACATGGTGGCTCACTTGTTCTACTTCTGTTTAGGATATTCGGTATATTGATATATATTTAAGATTATTGTCATATTGCATATCACACTATATATTCCTACCTCTGTTATAAATATCTTGTGTATTGTCACAATTTTGAAGTCATCATTCTTTACCATACATTTGCTTATAGACTGTTTACCTTGTTTACGTAAAGCCTTAGTCCTTAGGTTATTTCAGTAGATAAGACTTATAGATTTATAGTCACCTATGCTTGTCATCTCTATAGTTACGTTAGTTAGGATATCCAGATTTACAGATACATAGGTCAGATGGACAAGTAATCTTCAAACACTTCATAGACCTAGAGAATATGTCATTTAAATAACTTAGAATTCTGTTGACGTGAGACACAATTGCTCCTGGCTGCACCAATTTGATCCTGAGAGAATGTTGGGCTTCTAAGACATTTCCATTTGAAAGTTTGTCTTCTTGGCACAAAATGGCCTACTGGGCAAAGAACTGCCCTTGCCTCGACGGATGACAGTACAAATGCAATGCTATCCTTTCTGGACAAGCGGGACACAAGGAAAGCGACCACTGTACTCTGCCAAGACAGGGTAAGATGGTCTTTCAGAATTCCTGCTTCTGAAAATGTTCTGTCAGATACTTTAGGCCTGTAGACAATTTGAATGCACCAGCAATACTGAGAAACATTAGGTGACTGTCCAGGCTGCCAGATGTCTTGATCTACTCTTGCAAGATTCCCAAAAGTTGCTTGTATCCATCTACCATTTCTCAGGTACCATTATATTCCTTCTCAGGTCTTTGAGGGAATTGAAGACTAGCAGTTATAGTTACAACTTAGTAGATAGAACATATTAAGTATTAGATTCAGGTTCTTTAGGATAGGACACCTTTTGGAATGATCTTTGTAACAAGCCATTTACCTATGCTCTATACTTCTCTGGATTTTAGTATGTATTTCTTGCTTAATATTGTTTTCATTGGCTGTAGTTCCATTGTATCTAGGTCATTATCCCTCATTATTCCTGGACAATATTTGATAACCATTCTTTTGTATATAGTCTTGTATTAGGTTAGAACCTTCTTATTTAGACAAAAAGGGGGAGATGTAGTGGGTAGCCATTCCAGCTTTGATCTGGAAGTTCCAACCCCCTTTGAGACTTCGGCAACTGTCACGCCTACAAGACAGGACCAAGGGAGGTGCCTGGAGACCCGAGATCTGGATGGGCCAGCGCTCTCTTTCTGTTCCAGGACCCTATACGGTGGAGGTGGGCCAAGCAGAGCTCCAGAGAACACCGCTGGACTGCGATACACCTTCCCCAGACCCCGCAACCTACCTATCCCTTAATTTGTAAGTTACGCCATTAAATAAATCTCCTTTTAACTACGTGGAGTGGCCTTAATAATTTCACCAATAATAGACTACTAACTTAATATTATTAAGTGACATACATTTATGATGTCAGACCAAGGCTTGGGTTTTACTTACAAATTTCAAAACACATAATCTGCATGTTTTAACTGCAGTTATTGATTTTGCCATGTCTCATTGTTTTTTGTTTGTTTGTTTGTTTGCTTGTTTTTATGGTTTTTGGCACAGAGGGAGAAATAGGACACAGTATATAAGTCAAATGTTCATGCAAGGAAGAAAGACACAATCCAGGTAAATTATGGGATAATCATGAGAATTTTGAGTTATAAGAGATGGACAATATGTGTTTTCCAGGGTGACAATGAAATTGAAATTATAATTTATAATGCTACATCTAGATATTTGATTCATAGATCTGTTTAATTTGGTAAGTATGAGATTTTGAATATTTATATTTTCCCAATCCTTGGGCTGGCAGGTAAATAGCAACTCTAAGAATTCTGTCTCCTTTTTGGCATGTCCAGTGAATCTGTGTTATAGAATTCATAGAGATTTTTCTGTTTACAATGGTCTTGTAATTGCTTTTATTTTGACAAAAATAATATAAATAGGAAAGGTTTATTTTACTATACCATTGAAGCAAGTACCCCCATCATGGCCAGAGAACATGGTGGAGGGAACACGGGGCAGCTGTCAGCCTTACATGTGCAGCCAGAAACGACAGCCATGAGTGCCAGTGCTCAGAGTACGTTCTCCTTTGATTTTAGCCTTGGCATCCAAGCCCATAGGTTGGTGCTGTCCACGTGTAGGAAGGGGTCCACCATCTTCTTAACTTAATATAGAAAATTCTTGACAGACATACCCAAAACTTTATGTGCTAATACGGAGAATTTGACAATCAAAATCATTCACCATTACACATGACGTGGAAAAGATTATGTCTAATTTATTTCAAACTCTATTTGGCAAACTGTGTTTTCTGTCTGTGCTCCTCTCTTCTCCTCTCTTCTCTCCTTCTCTTTACCTCTCCTCTTCTCCGTCCCTCTCCCTTCTCTCCATCTCTCTTCTGACATACTTTTTGATTTAAAATTTCTAGTATTTATTACACATACAGGGCTGTAATGAAATAAGCTCCCATTTCATATTTAATCTACTTAATTTTATGTCTTAAAAAATTGTTTCCTACACCCCCAAAAGACAAGAGTTCACACGGAGGTACGGATAGAGTAAGCAAGCAGTCAAGGCTCATTTCTTCAGGTGATGAAGTAAAAGCAGAAAGGAAGGACTCCCTCTGAGGTGAGAGGGTAGGACTGAGAGAAATCACAAAGAGATTCCTGTGTCTGTACATAGAGATCTTAGTCTATCATTTCTACTCCCCTTTGTCACATGTGTTATTAATTTTCACCTTAATCTTTGTTTTCACTGCAATAGAATTATATCTAATTAATTGGGGAAGATTTCAAAATGTATGATGATAAAAGATATTTTCTTACTGTGTCTGTAGTTAGTATAGCTGTGTCTCCTAAGAAGATTGCTACCTATAACCATCTAATTTACGTTCTCATTTTTCAGATAACATGCAAGGTTTTTTATGTTAACAAATCATGAAAGAAGAATTAAATTAGAAAGATCATACAATGATTACTCATGTAAATATTTAACATTTCCTTCTGCAGTTTTATGTGACAGGAACTTCTGAAATAATTGACTAGGTTTATCTAACTGTTTCAACTTTTGTTAGTGGCACAAATTGTTTCTTGTACATTAGCTGGTCTTTCCTTCTGTTGGACTTGTTTTGTCTCCTGAAAAAGGCAGAAAACTTTGCTTTCTCTCATTTCCTGGAAAAATCATACAGTTCTTCTGTTATTTTCCATAAGAAACACGAATCAAGCCTCATTCCTCAAGGTAGAAAATGTATGCACATAAAACAAATGATTCCACCAAAGTCTAGCTTAGTTGGCCAATGAGATTATAAAACTATGTTTGAAGAGTAAATTATAGGCACATGTGAACTAAAGCAGTTGTGTCACTGAAAAGCCAACCAAGTGTAGAGGACTACAAGGAATGCTGCAACCCTGGAACTCCATACATAATTTTCAGGTAGCTTAACTGGTTAGAGTGACTCCTTGTGATCAATTGCTGTTGAGATCTTGTGAATCTCATAAGTATCATGATCTTCCTGAGCCTTGTAAGTATTCCCTACTTCCTGAGCCATAGAAGTTTCAATAATGGTCTTGTGAGGTGGCAATTGTTGTAAATACACTTGCCACCAATCCTGTTTACCTGAGTTTGATCTCTGTGTCCCATGTGGTATAAAAGAAAACAAACTTCTCCATGGTGTCCTTTGACTTCCATGTACAATGCCACGGGGCATGCGCACATGCACTTATACATGTAGAGGTGCACATGTGCACATACACACACAAACTAAATGAATAAATTCATAAATAACTCAAATTTAAAATATATTAAAAATAAGTATCACTTACTTCTGAAAATATGGAAATTTCATTTAATTTTGGAGTCTTAGATCCTTGCCAAACAGAATCTTTCATTTTTAAAAGAATGCTGCAAAACAGCAGTTAAAAAATACTTCATAGCAATCAGGAAGCCTGCATGGGACCAACTTAGGTCCTCTACATATATGTGACAGTTGTGTAGGTTGGTCTACTTGTGGGAATCCTAACAACAGGAGCTGGGGATGTCCCGAACACTTTGGCTAGTTTGGGGGAATCTATTCCTCATATCAATTGCCTTGCCCAGCTTCAATACAGGGGAGGTGCTTAATCTTACAGCAGCTTCTATGCCATGATTGGTTGATAC